AAAAAACATTGTAAATGCAAAGTTTGGTGGTTGGCTCAAACATCAACTTCCTATATTTACACACACAGGTGCGGTACAAACAGTAGCACCAAGCATGATGCATCTAGTGGACATGAATTTGTCGTCCCAGCTGCACTGTCATTTAGAAAAAATGGTTACTAGGATCCAGCACTCATTCGTGACACGAGTGGGATTCCAAGTGGAGGTTCTTCCAGTGGAAACTCTGCTGTGGTTTGATGTTGATGGAACTAACTGTAGACATGAGATATGAACTGCATACTTTACGATGTCTCATTTGCAGTGTTTAATTGTACACCAGACCCTAAGGGTGGTGCTTTAATTTTAAATTGAACCCCTGAGTGATGAAAATGCACTCAAAAATTCACCAGCTGTTACTGCAGCTGTCCAAGACGAGCCAAAACAACAACAGGACAAGTTCAGAACTAACACATCAATTTTCTAATTACTTAAACTTCTCCTCTTTTTTTCATGACTAAATCCTTGTTCCAAGCAGGAAAAGAGGTCTCAGGTCACTGCACCCCAAAACAATGGGTTTGCTTGGTTAAGATTAAGGACTGTGAAAGTCAGAAACAATTAAAGTCAGTGCTGACAAGGAAAACTGCATCCTGACACTGTATGCCCAGCTATGCCTCTTTGTGGAAACAGTTTCTGCCATTCTTTCATGGGCATGGCATTCGTTATTTGCACAATTACTGTGATAACTTTGTTTTAGATAAACAGAAGATTGTTGTCGGATGGTTGGGGATCACACAATGAATAACTGTGAACTCTGTCATTTTTGATATAACAAAGATAAAACAGTAATGGCTCAGGCTTACATCTGTGGGACCTGGCAAAAGAGAGGTCAACAATCATTTATTTATTCATGACTTCCCATCTGTTTGGTGCTGTGGAGCACATTTTACGATGGCTGTCACTCTCCCTAACTGTGTCCTCTGCCCTGTTGCCATTTATCTCCTCATCTCCCCAGCACCGAGAGCTCCCCTAGATCTCCTGGAGATTGCAAGGTAATTTAGTGGTGTTGGGGGTAGAGTGTCAGTGATAAGGGCGTGGTTTTGCCTTATTTAAACCATGCCCAAAAGAGCAATCTGATGCCATCTGTGCCATGGTGCACCGAGCAAATCCTATTTTGCTGTAAAAAAAAAAAAAATGTTTTAATCAGGAAAGGGAAGTGCCAGAAAAAAAACTGCTCCAGCAGCAGCAGCAGCTTTTGGCTCATATAAGCCAAGGTCATTCAGGGAGACTGAGAGTGTGCTATGTGTAAATGTTTATGTGTGTTGCTGTAGACGGTCACCAAGGGGCCAGCTGACGGGACAAGAGCATCATCAGACACTTGTCTTGCATTATGAAACGTCATTCTCTACCTCTGATGTCAGAAGTCATTTTCCTTTCAGATTCTTCAGAGCCTTAGGGGAGACAACTCTTCCTTTTGTCAACCTAAACCGTCCACATAAAGTAGAAATGGTGAACATTATCTCAGACTTTGATACTGTACAAACCCCTCCATTTAGACTTGCCAGCAGGCATGATTTGAACAGCGGCAGCGACGTGAAGGTCGGTGGGATAGAACAAAGCACTTTCAATTAGCTTTATAGTCAGTCATCTCCTCTCTTTCCAGCCAGATCAAACATGCGCAGCCCCATCGCTTCTCAGATTTGCTCTCACTTGATTGGAGATTCTTTTCAAACAGGCTTCTGATAATGAGTCAGCTCACCTGTTAATGGGATTATCGCATGTCACCAGATTAAACAGGCTTTTCACACAGACCAGGCTGAAGGCTGGTCTCCTCCCAGCAGGCTTTCATCACCTCTGCTGGAGTGGCAGGTGAGGCGAGAGAGCAGCACCACACGTCTCATATAACAGAGGATGTGAGTGATGAAACAATGGCATCAAAAGCAGCAGAACGCTGTCGTCTAAACAGTCAGGCAGCTGTCGTGACACCTTGAGAGTTATGTTTTTTTAGTTCGCTAGCAGAGCATTTTTGACTTGATCCAATCATTTCAGAGTTTAATGATGCATGTTGCTTGTTTGCTGTTCCAACAATTGAGATGTACAAGTAGTTGATTAATCAATCAACAGAAACTACTCTGATAACTTCTAGTAATAGTGAAATCCCTCAAATGAAATAATAAGTTGCTTTTCTCCACCTGTAGTCATTTCAAAGTGAGATTAAGGTAACATTTAAGGATGTCATCCTGATCTCTGGGCATTTTAAAAAAATATATATTTGTTGGCAATTATTTGACCAACAATTACGAATTCATTGAGAGTCAATAAAAACAGCCAATAATGAAACTAATCAATAACCACAGTCCTGCAGAGGTGAAAACATCTAAACCACTGTGTAGAATTGTCTCATATGTAGAAAATAAATGGAAAATAAACAAAATAGGATAAATTCATAAATTAAAAGCTCATCTCATAATAAGTAAAACCTATAACTTCCTCTTTGTGACTTGGTCCCTCATTAACGGCCTCTTATCTCATGATAAATGTGACTGTAAGTTAGTTTCTAAGGCTGCAGTCAAAAAAAGAAAATGATACCCACTCTTAAATTAGCTGATCAGTCGTGAGGAAAATAACTGTGCACATCATCTCTAGATTAAGTAATCCAGCCGCGGAGCACTGAGTGCGCTCTACCTGATAGCCTCATTAGCCCAAATGGATTTTAAATAAACATTAAGAGATGGTGTTTGCAACTTATTAAATCATTTGGTTATTTTATACTGAAATGACAACAACAGACTGGGAGCAGACCAGCTGGCACCGGCCCATGTTCGTATGATTTCTGACAACAGAACTATTTGCACTGAGCCAGTTCATCAAGAAGAATTACTGAGAAGTTTAACATAGACAAGTTAACAAGTTTTTAGAATGCATGTCATGTTGGTCGACACATAGTTTATACTAGATTTTGTGAAAACACAGAAAAATTTTTCGACATGATTTCAATTATTTTGTAGTTCAAAATAGTGAAAAAGGCAGGAGTGTTCACAGGTAGTCTGTTGCCAAAAGTGATGGATGAATCCTGGAAGGCTGCTGACATAGTGCTCATCAAGGTAGCATCAGTGATTGTCTGATCAATTACAACATAGTCAGATGAGAGCATATTGGCCAATCAATCCAGCAGATGACCTGGAGCCTATAACCTCAAAGTCATAGAAAGTATAGTTCATACGATTAGGTCATGATTTCAACAAGAGGTTGCGTTCCATTTTGATTCTCCTTTGGCATAATCCCCAGATTTGTGACAGCCTTTTATTTCACCCCTCTGCTTTTTATTAGCAAAGGTGAACATGCAGGTGACATTACCAGGCTTTCATTTTTAGCCAGCAAACATCACATCACAGCCGCAGAGTACATCAGCTCTCACTAATGAAGATTCATTTCATAAGTAACTTGACAACAGGCCAAAATGAAACTTTTGGCGGTCATCGGAAACAGTGCTTTAAGTTCCACCTTCTCACTCGCTGCAAGTAATTTGTAGATGTCACCTTAGACTTTAGGAAACTGTGTCCTAATGCAAATATTGTGCAAAACAAACCTTTCCCTTAATGTTTTTTTCTGCTCATCCACATCACTCAAATTGCTGGAGTTTTTTTTGTTTGTTTGTTTTTTCCCAAAGATCTTCTAAAGTGCAGATTTTCAATAACTTTGGTCTGTGCATATCTGTTGCTTGTTAAAGCCCTTGTATTTGTTTTTGCATTCTTGTGTGTACAAAGCTATTTTGTAAAATTATGTTTTTGTGGACAGATCCTTTCGTATTTTTTTATGAAAGGGGAACAATATCTGTCTTGAAAATATCAATTTTGATGTAGACATGGACTTGGATGAATATTTTTTTATGGTTTTGGAAGTAAGTTACACAAATGCACTCCACTATACAGCAAAGACAGCAATTTGATAACTGGAAAATCATGATGTGCTTTTAAAATTCAAGCCACTGATCGTCTTGCTCTGGATTCTGTTTCTCTTTAGGCACATGCTGAATGTAACATGGGAACACAATGACTTCTCCTTCAACAGCAACGGCTACCTGGTGAATCCAGCCATGATAATCATCACTCTGGACAGAGAGCGACAGTGGGACAAGGTGGGATTTTCACATCAATAATATAATGCTGGATTTCTCACTTCTCACAGCGCTTTCTTAGTAGAAGTACTTCTTAGACTAATTTGTGTGCTCGTTCCTGAAAGCACAAACCCACAATTTAGCTCATGAAATCAACAGAATAGTTGCTTTGCCGTTACAGCACATTGTGTCTTTCACTGGTGTCGTTTCCTTCATGCTTAAAGTAGAGTGATTTCATAGATCACTGATCTCTTTGTAAACACTAGTTAGAGGAGTCAGAGCTCCACTGATACCAATGAACCACTTAATGAAGGCTCATCTCCTAATCACACACACACAGTGCCGAATTTCACACACACCCCACTCACTTGCTTCTACTCTCCATCTCTTCAAAATATCTTAAAAGAAAAACCGCAGTCATTCAGGTGCCTTTGCTTGTTGCCTTATTGAGTTGTTTGGATTTAGAAACATCACATTAACCACAGGGGTGGTTCTTTTATTGCTATTTGAGTTTAATTGCATCTGCATTTATTATATATGCACTTCAGCACCACTGAAAATAAGGGCTGCCCTTGTGATTTGGAAAGCAGACTGGAGGGAGCTCAGTTACTCTAGGAGTTGAATAAAAGGTGCTCACAGGGAACAGCCACAGGCATTTCAAAACCAATTATGCTATAGTGATGTTTTAAGCTCCTGTTGAAATGAAGCTGCAGCTCTGATAGAAGCGTGTTGGAGGCAGGTCACACGTCAGCTTTAGGTCTACTAAAGCTGCAGCACTATCTACTACTTTCTATTAGTTTCCAATATCTAATCAAAACCCAGAGTTAATGAAGTAAACAAGCAATTTGTGCAAATGGAAGCCATTGTGTATATTAATCAATACCACCGACTTGTTTACTCAAGGAGAATTGACTTTGTATTTTGGTTTATACTTGAGAACACGACCAACATTTTTAATATTTTAGGTGTTTGATGAGTGTTTTGTTACAGCACAACTAAATTCCCCAACTTCCTTCCAACTTAACATTAAATTATATTTTCAAAAAATGAAAAAGTAAACAACAATAATTACCACCATCATTATGCTATATATAAAAAAGATGGGGACTTGAGGGCACTGTTGGGCTCTCATCTGGGTGTGCATATTTGAATTAAGACAGACAGATGTAAAAACTCTATGGTGACTTCAAGACAAAGTCTTAATCATGACACTGAACTCCAAGCAGTTTCTGATGAGATTTGCTCTTGTCACATTCTTACTCACTTACTCACCAGATTATAAAGTCCTGCACCTCTATGGACACAGCACATCAATGGCTAGAAGTAGAGAGAACTCTACTTCTGCGACATATAACAAAGCAAAATCACATAAAATGCTTACTTATTTCACAAAACTTGGAGAAATAAAAATGAAATCAGCATGTACAAGACTTTTCAAAGTGCCCACAAGTGTTACCTATACTGGAAAGAAAATGGTGACCCTCCATACTAAAGATGTTTTACTACTTACATTTTTAAGATGCTGTCATAGTTTTCACCTATTGGCCCAGTGTAAACACAGCCAGCACTTCTATAAGTAGCAGCTTAGTCACTAATGTCAAATCTGGTTAGAGCAAACACTTTTAAATATTGATGAGATATCCCAATTTGAAGCTCAGTTTTGTTTAAGTTTCCTGACCTAGTGGCATAGCACAAATGTGTAGTTCAAGGACCATCTGATTCTTTCTGTTTTTACAGTTAATGGCACTGATAAGTGGTATAACTTTTAAAGGCAACATTCCTTTCAAACCCATTGTCAGTTTTTGAGGTTCAGAAGGTGAAACAAATCAATCAACATGCAGATAAAAGCAGGAACAGGTTGTAGAGTGCCTTTAACAAAAGATGATCACCTTCAAACTAAAGCAATTCTCTCTCTTTTATCCTGACAAACTGTTTCTTATCTGAAGAGACAAAAGCAGTTGTGTCTTTCACTTTTTGTTGGTCATGCTGCCCTGCTGCTGGACTCTCATACTGAAGGGCGCTGCAACACTCCCAGTAGATTAGGGAGGTTCTTAGCATCCTCGTCCTCTGCGCTATCAAAGACAAACAGAAAGGTTTGCTCTGGAAACATCCCAGAAGTGTAAAACTTGGTCTCCTCAAATTGTACAAAAGGCTCCAAAAGACAAATATTAAATTGAATTCAGTGACGGTAACATGACGGAGAGTTTACGTACTCAGACAAAACCAGTTCAGCTGAGGTTAGCATCAGGTTTTAAAAAAACGTTCACATAAAGGATAAAATACTGCCGACAAGGAGGACTTCAAACCAGAGTTGAAGGGAGCTGTGTCCTCTTATTCACTCCCTGACTCCGGCAGTCCTCATTTCCCAGCACACTGACCTTTACATAAACCTTTCGTGGGAGGAAAAAAATATATTTTTCTCACTCCTTCAGAGAACAACATTGTGCTCATTCTACAAAATTTCAGCTAAGAAGTGTAAGGCAATCCATTTTCTGTGCTTAACTTTCTCCTACCTCTGGCCTCTTTTCTCTGAAAGCTGAAAATCAATTCTGCCTTTTGATTGCCTTTTTTTTTTTTTGCCAGCCTTCTCATTGTGCATGTTGCAAGGCAGCCGGTTCATACATCACCTCTGTACAACCAGCCCCATTCTGACACTACATACACTGATACCTTGCATTACACGCCTCTTTTTTTTTTTTTTTTTTTAAACTTAGCAGTCTTATATCACTACAATGCTCTTATCACGTGCTGTAATTTGCAGCTTCCACAGTCATTGTTGAACTGCTTCCGCTGATGTCGTCCTGAGATCTAGAAGTCAAACTAAGTTGAAAAGATGGAGTATGACAAAAGAGGGTAGCGACGGAGAGAAGAGGCCCCAGAGAAGGACGAGAAGTGTTCCTGTCGCTGCTGTTATCTGGCAGGGTGATATATGGGACTGAAAAGCTATATATCTGTGACGCACACAAACCTTGAAATTACCGTAACCTTGCTGAAACAGGATTTGTAAACTGAGGGGGGAAAAAAAATACTTAATTGTATCTTCACCAATGATGATATATACCACTCCGACTACTCGCTGTATACAGGTAATTACAGAATTGTGCATTTCACGGCAACAGTCGCCCTGTGATAATGCTTTACGCTTCCCGTTCTTTAGAGATCGCTGACACCAGTATTTAATGCGCTGTGAGAAACAAACAATACAGATTTCACAGTCTTGAGCAGCCGCAGGGACATGATGATTTTCCATCTCCTGTAATTTGAAATTCTGATTGACTACCGCTCCACTCGTGGGAATTTTGTCAAGTCAAACAGCAGGACTTGATCAATATGACTGGCAGGAGAAAGGAATAACTGAGGAAAGTCCAGAGAGAATATAGAGATATTTGCACTTTCCCCCCCACTTTCAGTTCTTTCATTTCATTGTGACAAGCTGTACTGACTGGTGTGATGAGAGAGGATTGCCCCCCTTCCTGCATAAACAGCAGAGATTATGTGGGAGGAAAAACATTTTGTCCAGACTGACGCTTTTTTTTTTTTTTTTTGAGCCCTTCAGGAAGTTAATGGCATTTACAGAAGCACAGGCAAGTGAACTAGAAAGACTATCATAAATATTAATCAGCTCATATTTGCAACAACTACCTCACTACTAGAAGTAAGAAAAAAGTGGAATTGTTTCAGCTATAGCAAATAAGATGAAGAGAAGAGAGCTGCTCTTCTCATCTCTTACTCTCTCCTGTGACTGTGACACTTCCATTCCCACATGGTAAACTGTGCCGACTAAAGACAAGCAGTTTTTGTCAAACCTGTAGATTATTTTACTGTAGCAACTGAGCAGAAGTAGTATATGATCAGGTTTTGGGAATATCTTACCTATCAGTTAGACATGGAAACATCGTATCCTGGCTTTTGAGAAACCTGGCAATGTGAACACCATACCCTGGTTTCTAAACATCGCTCTTTGTTGAGAGAGTTGGCCTGGTGAGATGGCCGATTTTTCCAAGACTGCAATGACAACATCTTGCCAGGCTTCAAGCTATGTGCTTGTGGCCAATAATCAGCGTCCTAGGAGGAATTAGTGGCAGCTACAGGTGTGTTTTAAGTGTTAAATTATCCTGGGATAGACTGTTGGTTCACCCAATCGCCTGCCTCTCAAGAGCCAGCCTTTTTCCAAACAGTTTCCCAAGATGATTTCTCAGACTGTTCTGTGTAACAAACCACATGGAACATCAGTTATGTTAAAACAACAGTGGCAAAGTACTTAGTTAAACGTACTTGGACTGTGCACTTATATGTATTTGGCTGGCTAATGTAAATGATGTGCTTTCCAGATGTCGCACTGTGTTGAACCCAGTTCAACATCCATGCAATTATGCCAGAGCTGTCTGCGCTAGCTACAGTTTCTATTGTTGTCTGTTTTAGACATGAACTTAAAATGTCCTCATGTCTACTCCTTGGTAAAGTAAAGCTTAATACTGAGGCTCTGTCACACATACACCCAAACATCACAGCCTTTTAACACACAATTGAGCACCAAAGAACTCTGGTGTGGCTGGAGTTGAATGCTGTAACAAACACACACACCACTTTCTCAGACGACTGTATATGTATATTGCCACAGTGATATTAATAATCACCACTCGCAATTGACCATTTAATCAGTCGGCCAAACAGCAAGGCCGAATAAATGCTTTTGTGAGATAATTGGCACTAGCCGGTGTCAGAAAAATGTCAGCACACACATTAGGCACATTAAGGATACAATAAGTCTAAAATTACGAAGGAAATCGCCAAAACAGGTGCTTAAGTCGAGCAAGCAAATGTTACAATTCAAAATTAGTAACTGTAGAGACAGGTTTAGTGTTATTAGATGATCTAAGATATATGAGTGAAGATGATCCGTAAACAGTAGCAGAGCACAGTGTGATGGTAATAGGACGAGGCAGGGTACGCTTCCCAATGTTAGACAGCAATACATTCATTAGTAGAGTAATAGGAGATGCTTCTACGCGATAACTGCAGTAAAGTGCACAAAATCTGTATTTTTCCACATACATCTGTGTTATTTTACATAATTTTGTTTTCTGATCACATGTGACATTTATTTAGCATATATATATATATTATGCAGATCAACTTTAGAAAAGTAAGCAGATCTGTTGTTGCAGGCAGTGACAGTGTTAAACTTAATGTTAAATTAAAATGTTGGACAAAAAGTGATCATGACATGACATCATTACTTATTCGTTACTGGCCACCCACTTTCAAACTATCGGCATTGGTCACTAAAAACGCCATATCGGTCCACTACTAATCTGTATGTTTACAACAGTGGATGGTTGATGATTTCATTATGTTTTCTTAATTACTGGTTAGTATTAACAAGGACCTTTTCGTTACATCTAATTAGTAATATCATTTCAGCTTCTACCGGTAACAAGGTTTGACTTTTGCAAAGTATGTGATAACACATTTAAATCAATGCAAAAAAGCAATACTCATATAAATCATACAACATCACAACAGTGGAGTGTTCTATTAATATTAAAAAGTTATTGTTGTCAAGCATCACCAGAAAAGTAATGTATCACGACTACACTAGCTGTAGCTAACTCCATACTGTTCTGGGTAAACCCTGTTCCATTCTCAAAAAAAGAAAAAAACTAACAATGAGTAAGATGTGTCAGTGTTGCTGGCAACTGGGGTCCAACTGGTCCTCTGTGACCTTCTTTCCTTCCTCTATTGCTGAGCTGCATTTAAACAGAAAGAGTCAGATGGACCAATTTGCGGAACGTGGTACTAAACAGGTCACGGCTTCTTTAAATAAGTGAGCTTGAAATGTTTAATTCCAGATCTTGATTACGTATTCAGCCTGCTCGTGAATGCTCATTTCCCCACAACATCCAATTAAAATTAGCTTACTGGTAATATAGCAAGGGGTGGAATTGCTTTCATTACATTAGATGTGTAATTGCAGTCTCCGCATCCCCAGTGACCCAAAAATCAATTTCTTCTCAACTGTCCATGAACTAAAACTCTGCTTGCTGCATCTGGTCCAGACACTCCAATCACAGAAACATATAACATATGCAGTTAGAGAATTAGGGACCCGAATTAAAACTAGAGGTTGTAATGGAAAGTGTTACGCGGCTGTTTTCATCACATCTATCTTAATTTCTCAAGCTATACATATTTGTCCTTTGTGGCCGAGTTTAACAGGTTTCTAGAGTCCTCTGCAGTTATTAATGTGGCCTTTTTGCAAGAATCCGTGTTCCTCTGTGTGTTACTGCTGTAACAAATCAGCATCATGGTGGCCATCTGGAGTTTGGTGCAGAGATTTTTCACTGCCTCATGTTGATTCAACCCCTCCTCTCTCGACTCCTTCAGGTGGGGACCTATGAAATGGGAATCCTACAGATGAGATACCCCGTGTGGCCGCGGTTTGGCTCCTACCTCGAGCCGGTGTCAGATTACAGGCATCTGACGGTGGCCACCCTGGAGGAGCGGCCCTTTGTCATTGTGGAGGCAGTGGACCCTGTGACTGGTACATGTGTTAGCAACACCGTACCCTGCCGACGACAGTCCAACAAGACGGAGGCGTAAGTTCATCAAAATGACACATAACCAAAACTCAAAAGATTCAAATATCACATCTGTGCTCTTTGTTGGCTCAATATTGCATTTTGAGCACCGTCCTAATTATTGTTCACAATCTGTAGTTACAAGCACAGCATATGAACTGTTAACTAATTACACATGAGTATTTGTATTTCAGACATCTGTGGCCTAATTATTTTACACACCTTTTTTCACAAGCACATTATTCCTAACTCAGAACAGAATAACAGGCTAGCATTATACATGAATGCTTATGTGTAGAGAGTCTGTCACTGTGTTGGCTTTGCTGAACTACCAAAACAAAATACAGTAGAGAGCACCTGTGCAATTAATTAGCTGAGTTAATTAGTCATTTAAAAGCCAGCTATCCCACTAACAAAAGGAATTTTACCACTGCTAAAAACAATACACAGGAAGAGAACATTAATGACATTTTTGGCATTCTTGGATTTCATATAAACTGGTCTGTGATTGGAGGGAAAGTAATGGCAGGAGTTTCATTAATCTTGAGCCTTTCCAGCTCCTGGTCTCCAAAATACCAGTGCCAGAGACTACCCCACTATTCCCTGAGGTGGCTGAAGCATACAAATGCACGCATCTGGTCACATGCACCAGCACGCCTATTCAAACATGGGCATCCTGACAACACAACAGCCTGTCAACCATAACATTATTTTAATATACACCAGTCAGCCACAAAAACAAAACTCATGAAGAGTTTAACACTGATCATCTTGTTACAATGCAATGTTCTGCTAGAAAACCTTAGCCCTGGCATCGTGTGAATATTACTTCGTCATGTATCAACCACCTTAACATTTTTACAGACTCAGCAGACCCCCTTATTGCAGCATCACTCCCAGAGAGCAGCGGCCTCGCCCCACTATGCCTTAAAAAGCGCTCAGAAACAGCTCAGGGAAAAAGCCCGAGATATCGACCCACCCTCCAAACTCCTCAGATCCCAGTTCGACCATCTGTGGGAAGCCGCACCCCGCAAACCACAGCACCCAGAAGATTTGGGTCCCTGTATTAATGCTGTGGCTAATTGGTATAGGCTATTAACAGAAAATATCAGTCAAAGCAATCTCCTTTTATAAACTGTAGTACTAAGAAAGCATACAGTATGTAGGAGCAGCAGGCTCACAGCTATCTGTGTGTGCGTCATGAGCTGCATTTAACCATCAGCATTTAGAACAATTATGCATGAATATGCTATTTGATTTATGGAAATTATCTTGAGATCACCCTGGGGGGTCCAGACTCACTGGATCAGAGGATGTAGCTCATGACACATTTGCTCAGACTGACCAAACATCTAAATTCTACACAACATGTATAGCACATATAGTATAACCTACAATATGTCCAGGTGCATTTGCAGCACAAGATTAGAATGCACAAGTCATCTAGAATATTACATTTTTCACACGTTGAATTTGGGGCTTCATTTTCACTCTGAAAATATAATATGTTGTGATGTTAGAGTTACACTCTGGAGTGTTTTGAGATTCTCTACAATCTGCTTTAGTTTTCAGTCAATACATATTTTCACATCATTTTCTATTACCAGACTGGAGTCAAATATATTCAAACCCACTTGGTATTACCGCACAGTCCCACATGCACTCAAACATGTTAACATGCCCAGCTTAATTGATTTTGTATCTAACTTGAGGGTGCCATTAGGTATGAGATTAAGAGGCTCTTCCCCTGCCATTAGCGCATGCATGGCTTCTTATCACTCAATGAGGTGAGATACTCATTAGGCTGCTTGGCCAGAGTGCAATATCCCAGGGATCACCCTGTGACCCAATCAGGGAAATATATGTGCTGCATGGCGGGGTATCAATTAGATGGGACGATTAGGCCATGTCATCAATCCTGAACACCTAGAGACTGATATCGGCGTTCATTAGCAGGGGGAGAGAGGCTCTGGCCATTATCCATTACTGACAATGGCGTTAACGAGATGAAGGGAAAGGAAGATGAAGATCACGTCCCTTCAGTGTTATGGGCAACTGTAGTGCTTTATCGCTCATGCTGACCAAATCATCCGACCTGTATAAAAAGTGCATAATTCCCCTTGTCAGACAATCGAACGTTTTCACAGAGCCGCACAGAAATTCCAGGCAGAAACAGATAGAGTCAATGAGAGGTTCAATGAAGCAGTCAGCACTTTGCTCAGCTGAAGAAGAAACATTGGCCAATGAAGGTTGCAATGAAGGATGAAGAGTTACGCTGCAACAGATCTTTGTGTCTAGTTAGACTATGGCTGCATCGACAGATTATTTTCAAAATTAAAAATCAGTGGATTGTTTATATGATTTAATAACTGTTTATTTAATCTTTGATTGTCATAAATTTGTCAGACATATCCATTACAATTTCCCAGAGAGTTGAACACAGATGACTTGTCCTGGCTGCCAAACAAGACAGCAAAGAAGCAAATCACTACATTTGAGAAGTTAAAAGTAGAAAATGTTGCCATCATTTTTGGATATGTGGCCTAAACAATCAATAGATTATAAAAATTATTGCATTGATTGAGAAAACTGGTTGATTCTTCCAGCTGATACAATTTTGACTTTCAAGAGTTTTAAAAATGTGTAAAATTCTATAATATATCAGGTAATGTTAATTTTAACATGACATTAACAAACATTTTATACAACAATCCCTTGAATAAGGTTATCAATTATTTAGTACATTTTAACTGAGCTGAATTTTTTACAGTTGTGTGTGTTCACTGAAGGACAAAATGTGATAGCAACACTAATTCCAAATTAGAGTTACATCAAACACATCTTTGGTTCTTGTTAATATATGTGTGATTTTGACCTGCCCATTTAGCAGTCAGATTCCTAAAACTAAGCCAAGAAGTGTGTTATCTTTTTCTGGCTGCAGGGTCACCTTTCCTTATCTGAATCTCCTCCCTGGCCTTAAATTTTCCTACAGCCCTGAACATGCCCACAACTCAGACCCACATCAGTGCTTTGTAAATGGAAAGCTAGTGGTCATTCAAGTTCTCCATTTCAATCCCTCAACCCCTGGGCCATGCATTCAGCTTGCCAGGCAGGCCATCTGTGTGTTTCACTCATGCATCCTCAGAGAGGCCTGACAAACAGGCACCAGTGCACAGCTTGGACTTGGCTAAAGCAGCTCACAGCAGTTAACACAAGCTCTTCCCTTGGAGTCATGTATATTCTCCAGTGGAATCAGAAAAATCTCGAGCTCTCTTCCTCACTGCCGTTCAGCTGCTGGGAGCTTAATTTTTTTTTTCTTTTTCTCTACTGAAGATTAATTCAGAGGTAATGCCCTGGTGAAGGGTGGTATTGACCTGAGAAGATAATGTCATCATACATTAGCTGCATTCAATGGGAGTTAGATCATAAGTTGATTTAATTAAAGCTGAGACTGAGTGCAGCAGCAGATGAGCTCCCCAGAGCCCGGCAGCAAGAGGACCAATACAAAGCACGAGAAAGCTGCGCAACTTCACATAGCGATGGTTTCACAAGGCAATGTTTGAAAATTACGACATTACTAAAGTGCATGTACTGTACGCTGTGATGCCAACATGTCCACATCGAAGATAGCAGGAGACGTTAGTTGTATGTCACCCCTCCTCTCTCTTTATACATTTCCTAGCAAATCTCAAATGTCCACTAACAGATGAGGTAGAAATGCCACAAAAACATAATTTACATTAAAAAAAGGGTAAGTCTGGGGGGAAAAGGAGAGAGGAACCCGAGCTAAACATCCAGCTGGAACAATTATCCAAGAGCAATGTGGTAGTACTCCGCTTCACAACGAAGACAGTGTTCACAAACTATTTAATAACTGGTTTATACTGATGTAGCAGTTTTCTCCTCATGAAAGTAACACTGACGATTGCTCAACCAATGCATATTTGGTTGGATGCGAGCATGTCGAACAACCGATCGACAAGCGGACCTAGACATCACAACTTTAGCGAATGGAGCCAATAATTTATTTTGCCGATGAATAAGGTGCAAGCTCAAGATTTCCATGTTGAGGGTGTCGTCTTTGATTTTCTTGAGAAGGAATACATACATCCACAGCTACACAGATGGCCACTGACATGACAGCGCACACACACACACACACACACACACATTGCTGCCTGTCACAATCCATAGAGCACCACCAAAACATTATTGCGAGAATGTCCACACTTTGAATAAATTACCTCACACGCACATTTACAATGATTCCCAAAGACCCATTTTAATGCAACTGGCAGCTGAGTTGAAGCCCAGCCCTGAACCCTGGCAGCTGGTGAGACAGGGGATGTTGGGACCACTGTGTTTACTCACGGTCTGCTGTGGCAGCTTCGTTTCCCTCCAAAGTGTTCATTTGTTTCTGTTTGTTGTGGCTGTGCTCTGCCTGCTCGCTGGCTCGCCTGTCCGTCTCATTGCCTCCCGGTCCTGATGCGTGGGTGCAGAGTCCATTAGACTGAAGGTCTGGAGGAGGTTAGGGGTGATGTGTCATTAGTGCTCTCTGCACTGCGCCCATGGTTCACTAGTTCGCTACCTCGCTCTGCCCACCTTATACGCTATAGGAGGGGTGTTCATTTAGGTTTCCATGAAAGCAAATAAACATTTAATGGTGGACCATATTCCCTCTGATGATGAATACGAAATGAGACAAAATGGATCGTCAAGTCTGTCTAAATTGATCCTCCCAAACTGACATCAAGGAAAGACGGAGATTTAAAAATAGAGCAGTCACACAATTGCGCATTTAATTTATGGAAAAGCTCAGCCTCCCCACACAATGGGCGAGAGTGGCTTTTATGGGTGTCATACACTGACAACAACTGGTGATTGATTTTATTACTTAGTCAGAATATTCTCATAAAGTTTATGAGTCACGAAACACTACACGATGTAGAAATATGAGGACAAAACCTTTTAATTTAGAGACACAGAGTATGTATATTCTCCCAAAAGAACTTCAGAAATCCAAAAAGTTGAGAAATAAATAAACATTAAATGTAATTTTCCAACTCTGTCGGGGTCAGACTACATAATATAAGGCAATATACACAATGTGAAATGGGTTTCAATGTAACTGTATACATTACCTCATAAAGCAGTGCTCACATTCACAAACAAATTTAGCATTTATAGCACACATAAGCAGTCAGAGAGAAAGAAATCCAGACTCCTACATCAGTCTAAGATGTTTTACAAGACTCTAGACTTTGCATTGTCTCCCTTCTTTCTGACTCGCATCACCGCTGTCATCTTGTTTGTCTAAAAACTGAAGGACATTTTCATCCCCACGTTCCTGGAATCCTGCTGATAAGTAAGGGGAATTGATTTCAACCCTTACGTCAGCCTCTTTTACTTGGTATGCAGAGTCTAAAACTGTTCATTTGGCTTCTGCTGCCTGCTCTGTCTGAAGATCAGTAGCGTATGTTAGCAGCCATGCTGAGTCTTTTTTTTTTTTGTCAGGGTCACGACAAGAAAGCCTGGTATGTGGTAGGTGTTATAACTGTTAGCATGCTGTAGTAAAAGCCACATCTAAGCCTGGGTCAAGGGAGGGACAGGTGTAGGTATTAACAGCTGCAAGTTTGAACAACAATACAGCATTAAAAGCTTTGCAGCAGTAGAAGAATTATAATGAAAGCGATTGCTGAGGAGAGTGGCAGCTTGCCAGCCTTAAGCTACATTTTATATGCTGTACTACACAAGAAGAGGCTGTTGTTTTATGCTGTTACTGCAGTTACAATGTGGTAGACAAATGAATGTTTGTCTTTATCAGCAAAATGGAATGAATGGATTCCAGGGGTTTATGGGGGGGCCGGGTCCGGACTTTAAAAATCACACAAGAGGTAAACATAGGAGGATATGTGGATTTATAGCTTTTAAATGACGAGAAACGAAGATGTTTCAGACATTCAATGATAATCAGTTCACAGTTTTGTTATGTTTAATAGACCTAGGGGAGGGTGATCTAGCCAAAGGATGTTATGACAATCTTTTAAGGTAATCCAGATCTAAATCACAATTTTCCCCATAGATTTAGTTGTCATATGGTTAGTTGTACATATGGTTGCCTGGATATAAAGCCTGTCAAATCAACTTAAGGCTAACGTCACAAATCTCTGCATCTTGTTTTCGCTCTGATTTCAGTCTCAGTGTTCTGATCAGAGGTGGTGATTTATATCTCGTAATGCCTGTTAAGTTTCCATCCTTAAGAATAGCTGAATAATCGGTATTGATTGCTACAGAGCAAAGCAAACTGTCACCAAATGGTTTACTAACAGACAGTTGTTTGCTGTACAGATACACAGTAGTGGCAGCTCCTGAAATTAAAGTTGCCAGGAGAGGAACAAGGGAATTGCCTCCTCGTAAGCTGCAGCATTTATAGAAAAACATAACACTGACAATGTGCTGCCACATTTTAATAAACTACTTCTTTCAGATGTGCAGCCTCAACTCACCCTACACACTGCAACAATGAAACCGTAAAATCCACCATACTGTACACGAAAAATCAAATTTGTCAAAGTATACAAAGTGAAAACAACTTAAACAGATTAACCAGAAAAACAGCACAATATGGGGGGAAAGCTCACAGCATCTCTGACTTCTGCACAGGTAACTGCTGCATAAGGAATCGATTAATGGATTAAATTTAATGCCAACACAGCACTGGAGACAGAGCACATTAAAATAATTAATACAAGCAGCATTAACTGTCTACATTCTCGGTCCACACAGTCTTCAGTAAAAACAATTTACAAAAACGCTTCTGTCAGTTGGTTGGCCACCTCACTGTTATTCTTTGTCCACCATGTAACCGAGTATTTACAAAATAACTACACCTTCAACATTCATATTCTGTCCAAAGTCTGAATTGTGTCACAGTCATGATTTTGCTAAGTTATGATAAAGTAGAAACATTTGCACAGTGCTCTTATTTAAGTACCTATTTGAGAGAATAGAGTTTTATTGCCATTTGTACATTAGCACATTACAGTAGAGGTACACTGGAATTCTTTGTGCATTTACTCAAGTCAGCTTTATCTACAGGAAAAAATTAAATAACTGACGTGGCTTGTCTGATTACTTTGAAAAAAGATCACATGGTATATAAGATTGTTGGATCACCCAGCTCAATATAGACCAATTACTTAGTTATTTAATCAACATTGAAAAAATAATAATTAGCTAAACACTGTATATTTCATACTACATTGTAGTGCAGTGCAATTGTTGAAGGAAAAAAGACATGAGATGGTACTAACTGTTTTTGGTTAATTTGGCATATCAAGTGTATAACAAATAAGGCCACAGAACACAATTTAAAAAAAATATATATATTGTAAAAACAACCCTACTTCTCTCCGGCTGTTAGCTAAGTTTGGAGGGGGAAACAGCTAAAATGACTGTAGCTTCTGAATCACTTTGACTGGTCGAGGCAGAAAGAAAACATCCTAAGAGCAGCGGGCCATTTGTTTATCTTACACAAAAAAATATACTTATATGTTTTCCAGACTTATAGAAGTCATTTAGACAGTAAATATTTGTGCTGCTGTTGTACAAAATACATTAGAAATTTAAATTAAAAAAAAAAAAAAAACAAAAAACAACGCAATTTTGGCATCATGGATTTCCTGATACTGCGATACCAGATATGTCTGTGTTTGTTGATGTGGTGTGCAAACTGGAAGAAGGGAAGGAAAAGGGATAGCTGAAGCACGTGTCTATTAGAAGTTTATGGGGCTAAATAACGTCTGCCGAATAAAGATGAACAATGCTAATTATCTGCTCAGTTGCTCAAAGTAATAAAGACAATAAATAGGTGAACTGCAGCTTTACGCTCCAAACCTATAATTAGGAATCGACTGCGCCTTAAATTTGACATACTGATGCTTTAACAACTCATTTACTGCTCTTCAGGTAACATTTTAAAGACTTTTCTCTGTGGCCAAGTTGCCGTCATCCAGCCCAAACAATCCAGCAATGAGCTTCACTCCTGTCTGCCATTGTTTATTTGTGATTAATTTATGTTGGATTTGTTTTGGTCTGCCCAGCTGTCCGTCCATCTGTTGAGGCCGTGACATAATGCGCGAGCCTGTGGAGTAGCTCCAGCTTTCCCTTCTTCATCCCCCCCATTTCCTGACGTCAGGGGCCCAGCCTCGACGTCGAGGAGATGGCAGGTCCTCTCCTCAGATCCACAAGCTACCATCACCTGCTATTCACTTAATTCAGTTACTCAATCTTTAACAGGAACACTTTCTTGTGGAAATCATTTACAAAAACTGCAGGTCTCTGTGGTTTGAACAGAAAAAGAACGAGCTACTAGAGAAACAAAAACGCATGTAACTTTGTTCAGCTAGTTGGGTTTTATAGAAAAACATGTTCTCGGCACTGGAAGGTAACAAAAACTGTATCAGCAAAAGAAAAAATGATTCCTCCTTCTAAATATGGGTCAATAGTTCACATGACACTGTCCACTCTGTTTCAGTATAATGGCATATTTGTATAATCCCAACCATTTGTGAGCATAATAATTGGTGTGTTCCTTTAAATTGATAACATACCTACAGAATGAGAGCTTTACATTAACACCAATAGCAATGAGAATGAAGAAATCAGAGATCAATTATGTCATGAAGCTTACCTCAACATGTAAGTGATAATCAGAAGCTTCACTTTCTGTCTTTGTCTCTCATTTTGCCTTTCAGTATCGTGGGTCACACTGAGCCATACACAAAGTTGTGCTGTAAGGGCTTCTGCATAGACATCCTGAAGAAACTGTCCCGCACCATAAAGTTCTCCTACGACCTCTACCTGGTCACCAACGGCAAACATGGCAAGCTGGTCCGGGGAATTTGGAACGGGATGATCGGAGAGGTATGAACTACAAGCAGATAGTTTACCATGGCAGCGGTCCCACTTCATTCAGGATCGCCAAGATAGTGAATGAGGTCACTTCTCTGTTAGCTGCTTCTCATCAGCCAGCAGTGAAATATTCACTGCCAAGATGCAAAACGTACATCCACAGAGAAAGAACAGAGTGCTGGAGGTTGAGTTAAATCAGATGATGCATGGTTATGTCTTTGAAGTACCTGCAATCAGTGATGCAAGTCTTAAAAGACTATTTGAACTGATAGATTTAGCTCTATTACAGCTACCTTGGCCACATGACAAACATCTACACCTTTCTAACACTTTGTTGTTGAAGGAGGTCCTAGTGACAATGGAGGTTATTCTGTATTTTTTAAGTTGTAATGAGGAAATCACAGGCAAACAGTTTAGGAGAAATAAAAACGTTGGCATGTACATGAATCCTTGGTTACTGCAGATAGGTTTCTCTCCTGCCCTAAGCATCATTCCTCCATCTAGTTAAAAAAAAAGGACAAATTGTCTAAATTTAATATTAATGAGGTTCAGAAACGGAATCATCATTAAGCTTTGAAACTAAAACACACCAACTTATAGTAACAATTTATCACTTTCACACAAAATAACTAAATTATTCAGGACATATAATGAAAATCATAATATTTTACAAAGGGAAGACTATATGCAAATATCCACTCACTGGTCACCTCATTATACACATCATTTTGGTATTGCTCCTTGCAGTTACTAACATGAGAACTAACAAATTCTACAACATGGATGATGTATAACTCACTGATTGACCCACTGAGGCATTACATTTATGAAACAATCAGGAAAGTGAAAGTTGGATTATTGTATGTGTGATGTAGAGTGAATTGATTCCAAATCAAAATTAAGATTTGAAACAATGCAGTTAGAAATCACCAAGGCTGCATTTCTGACCCAGCATTTAAAATGCTGTCTCAGTGGTTTTAAAAAATTCCTGTGTGACAGTCACATTTACCAATCAGAAGTGGCCCAAGGCACCTGCGTATGCAACCAAAAACAACAAAAACATGAAACCTAAGAAAATCGTTACAGTTGTGGTGCGGAAAAAAGGCCTCCATTGAGCCAGAAGCAATGTTGAACAATCTAGTCTTGGGGGAAAAAAGCAGCACTTCTGGGGTATGAGAGTATTTAAAATTTGAGGCAACAGATGTGCAACAAAATGTTGTGGGAGGCAACACAACGAATTATTAGTATTTGAAAAAGCACCACAGGCAGCTACGTGACAAGTGTATGGCCAAAAATTTGAGGGAAAGTCGTGATGTTCTACATCAGTCTAGTAAACAAACAACTACTTCAGAGTAATGTATGTTGTTCTACATGAAAAGATGCTGTAAGGCAACCAACACTACATTACCTCACTAAAGACATAGTGTCTGTTAAAGCCATGGTGAAAGATGGCTTTCAAAAACTCTACTGAATATTAGATAAAAGATACGCAACTCTCTTCCACACATACATCAGTCAAGCTGCCCTTCCTGAAAAAAAAGTTGAGCTGAAAAATGTGGGGTATGACCAGTGAATATATTGATGGCATGTGGTAATGTTACATCACATTTTAAATCCGGTACGCTGTGAAAGCTGAAGTGAAGCTTGACTTTAAAAAATGATATTACCAAGCAAATTGCAATATCTTGCTAAAAATACGCAACTCATTTAGCCCCAGTGATGATAGGCAAGACTGAAATAAGAAAAATAAAAAGGGAAGTCACGATTAATGAGTGCATGAATTGTTACCAAGGTCATCGTGATAGGTGAAGGAGGGACTGTTGTACAAAAAGGAGGAGTAAGTGTCCCTGTGAATAATCTCCAGTAAGCTTCCGCTGGCTGCCCCTCCTCTTGGGGAGTTGGAGGATACAATATTAGTTGGCCCTTTTTTCCCCTCTTTTCAAACACAGGAAGGCTATTGTGCTCAATGAGGCATCAACCTCCATAGGAGAGCTAATGGCTTGCATGAGGCGGAGTGTCTGGACTGTAAATCCACAGGCTCTCCATCAGCATGATAAACAGTGGTGTGGTATGGCAGAAAAGGCTGGAAAACCAGCCACAGCGGAATTTGAACTACACTAGTGGGAGTCTGAGAAACATTAGCAAAAAATAGCATCACCTCTTTTCAGAGGCCATCAGCGACCTTTAGTCTTCAGCGATTCATTCCTTTTCCAGCTTCTAAGGTTTTGTAAGCAAACGCTTTATGTAACAGGTATTATGGTATATGCGCCAAGACTTTATAATGGATTAGAGATGGATTAGATGGCAGATCATGCTTTACAATGCATTGGTTGAAAAAAAAAAAAAAGGCAAGATAACACTGGAAGAAGCTTTTGAGTTGCATCCGTCTGACTGCTGGATGGATGCTCAGAGTCAAAGGTTGTGTGTGTTGACTCAACTGATAAATCAGATTTATCTCAAAGGTCACCAGTGAATGTCCAGTATTATGTTGCTACAGAGGTACAATTTATGTTCAGGCAAACGTCCGATAGCCACTCGCACTTTTATCCCACCCAAAAAAATATCTCTATTGACTTTCCTTCCGCCACAGGTGTTCTACAAACGGGCAGACATGGCCATTGGCTCACTGACCATAAATGAAGAGCGCTCGGAGATTATTGACTTCTCAGTGCCATTTGTGGAGACGGGGATCAGTGTGATGGTGGCTAGAAGTAACGGGACAGTCTCTCCATCTGCTTTTTTAGGTGAGAAACTCCTCCGGAAAGCATTTTGCTTTTGTACGAAGAAACATGCTTAGTCTGGCTATCATTGGAGCCTCAGAGATGGCCTCATGGTTTTGTCCCACACTATATACTGTAACTGATACCGGTGTTGGCCAACAAAATTACCTGTGTTTGAACATACATGCATATTATCTGCCTGATTGTGCTCTGTCCCTACAGAACCTTACAGCCCAGCAGTTTGGGTAATGATGTTCGTCATGTGTCTGACAGTCGTGGCCATCACAGTGTTTGTCTTTGAATACTGCAGTCCGGTTGGGTATAACCGCAGTCTGGTCACTGCCAAAGGTGAGTTTTTATCACTCTCCCAAGCGTTACCATCACAACTACAGCATCATAGAAAGCCAAAAGTATCAATGTTGGATGAAAAAGCAACAGCTATTTTTGTTTGAAAAGTGCAACTTGAGGCATGTGTGCACTTGAAAATCAATTCTTTCTTGTAGACTGTAGCAACACAGAGTTTTTTTTTTTTTAGTTTTGTGCTGAAAGATACAACACATAGACAACTGTCTGTTGAAAACCAAAGTCAATATGTTGACCATTCCGTGGTAAAAATAGACAAGAGGTGGTAGAGATCAAATATAATTTCTGTTTCGTTCAGGTCAGGGTGAAAGTACAGGGAGCTCTAAATTTAGGTCTACTCTTCTTCAACAATCCTACCCTTGTGAAATGTTGTGTAATGTTCAACTACTTGTCATTAAATGTATTTAAATGACACTTTGATTATTTGTTATAGGACCAAGATGGTCTGCATGCCTGTTGTCATTTTCTGGGGGATCATATTTTCCTGTGTAATGAACAAATATTCCTGTACACATATGAAAACACTACAGATGAAACACAGAAGTATCCAGCTACAGTTCAATAAAAGCTTGAAGTCTCTGTTGCACTAATTTTTCATTAACATAAAAGCTACCATTATATTTACGTTTTCAGATTTAGGTATACAAATAAAAAAATCGTTTACCTTACACATTTAATTTCATTCTGATTATGTCAGTGTGTACTAGTTGTAATTAATATTATAAGCAGGTTTGTATTTTAAATTAGCAGTAATCGTTGTATTTTGTCATTGTGAAACAAAACACATTTCTGATGTGATTTGATGTGACCTGAACTCCCAGAGAGATGCAACAAACACTGCAATCTTAAGGGTATGAAGAGGCTTCAGAGAACATGTGATATCCAAGCCTATTTACAGTGACCACATATTGGATCAATGCCTAGTAAATTGAGATACTGCAGTTTCATTTCAGAGCCATGTGGTCTATAAAGTATCCTACAATAGATGACTAAAGGTCAAATGGGGTAAGCTCGTGGCTTAGTCTTGGTTTTACATGTTTTATAATGTATGTCATATATGATGCTAAAATGTATAGCAATGTCAAAAAAGGACATGTTCTCATTGCACAACTAAGACAATCTGGCTGTACACATTTTAGTTTAGAATGTAACTGAGGTTTACCTGAACCAAACTTTCTTTCAGCCTGCCAGCTGGTTCACTGTTACTGTGTCTTATTGTCTTCAATAGTCAATTGACTCAAGGATCAATCTCTTCATCACAATAGCAACCCTGACATGTTCCAGTTTGTATTATAAAACTAAGCCAATAACACAGATCACCTGTATATCCAGATAGACAGATAGATAGACTTAAGAGCACAACACAACATGAGTAATCAAGACTATACAGTGGTGGCTACAGATAGAGAGAAGTGGCTGCATCAGAGGCAAAGAAGTGCACTTTTAAAATATATATGATTAGAATAATGCTGAATATTGTAGATGTTGACCGCACAATGAAAGACCTTATATCGGGGTACTGGACATTACAACAAGCATTTTTTTCCAGTATTTTTTGAAATCTTATGATTAAGTGAATCAATTAATTGAGGAAATAATCTGCAGGTTAAATGATCATGCACACAAAAACTACAACATTTTCTACCATGAACAGGCTGATACTAAGTCTTGTCCGCTCTGGACCTCATCCTTTCTAGATCCTGGAGGTCCCACCTTCACCATCGGGAAGTCAGTGTGGCTGCTGTGGGGAATCGTCTTCAACAACTCTGTACCTATTGAGAATCCAAAGGGCACCACTAGTAAAATAATGGTCCTAGTCTGGGCTTTCTTTGCTGTCATCTTCCTGGCTTCCTACACAGCCAACCTGGCTGCCTTCATGATCCAGGAGCAGTACATCGACACAGTCTCTGGACTGAGTGACAAAAAGGTACAGACCTCTGTCATTGACAGTCCTGTGCGTGTTGCTGTGTTTAATGTAGAGATTAGGAAAAACACAAAGTGGTCTATTTTGGTTGTGTAAACAACGTGTGGTGGAGCTATGAAAGGTAAATATCCAGAAGTGGCAATGTCATGGCTGTGACTTTTCACTTTGCCTGCAAAATATAAAAGGTCTCATAGAGTAAGTGGTGAAATTGAATTACATACCCAGACTCTTTATAAGGGATGTCAATGGAAAGCCTATGAAATGTAATACCCAAGTGGATTTTCTGGGGAGACAGTGATTATAATTTCCTGGTATTATCTTATTCATATTTGTCTGGCCTGGGGATGTGTTTTATAGGAGTATTGACAAGGAAATCCATGTTAAAGCATCAGCACAAAAAAATGATTTGTAGACTCTTAGCTTGCAGGCAACTTAGGGGATTAAAGAGGCATTTGAGGAAAAGACCAAGCTGTCCACTGCTCATTACGAATCTAGCAAAGTCATTTAAAATTCTCGTTTCATTATACATTAACTCTGCTATGCAGTGAAAGAAACAGAGCCATTTTGACAGTGAGCCCATAGATTATTGAACAGTGCTCTGCGTGGCAGCATGGTGGGAATGGAGGACTGAACTGCTGTTTGTCCAGCTGTGCTGAACCCCTCAGGTTAAGTAAATGTAAATGAGGTACAAGATGAAGCCACAGAAAGTGACCTTGTATCAGAGGAGAGAGTGATAAAGATGAGCAGAGCCGCTCTAAGGACACTGTGCTGTGTTAAGGCAGATGATTACCTCATTCCTACAGAACAGACACTTCACTTATAAGAACAGTCCTTGTGAGTGGGTAACACATCATGTTAACTCTGACATCGCCCAACCTCCTCCAATCCACTTCACTACATCTCTTCTCTTTGTAATACTAGGAGGGCGTACGCAGAAAACCTTTTAGCAACATGCTGGCAAGATACAGAAAAGGTCAATCCAAGCAGACAATGAAGAGATGTGAATAATCACAAGAAAAACACCAGCACTGGCCATTTGGTAACACGTTTTCAACAATGGATAATTACATTTTCCTGAAACAATCCCACCAAGGTCAAAGTAGCAGAATATCATGCACTGAAAACATCATGGAGGAGAAGCTCCAGCAGATGTCTGGGAATTCTAAGTGTGTTCTATCCGTGTGTGCTGACAGATGTAAACTTTGAAAGTCGACAGTGGACACCCTAGTCAAGTCTCAGTCAGACTAAAATGGGTACGCATTGGCATGCTATACAGACAGTCACATTTCTCCCATATGAACACAGAACATAAGACGGTGTTCCTGTGGATGTTTATTCATGGCTGACTGTGCCTTTGCACTTTTTTCCTGAATATAGCTGCTACTGACAAACTAGGCTGCCACAGTAAATCAATGTGATTACTCCAGAGATGTGTTGAGGACAGTGAGAAGACACAGCACGGGATTTCTGAAGGATTTTGGAACCTCGAGCTATGTTTGAGCATGTACAAATCAAAGCAGCTCCAAAGGTCCGACAGCAACTACTTCACTTATAATGTTTGAAATGATGAATTATGAAGGTGAGGGGGATGGAGACTGTCCTTGTGCAGCTTCTCCTCATGACAAGAATTGGTTTTAAGCACTCATTTTTCTGGTGCATGTGCAGTAGGTCAGCTTGAAGTGCATACAGAATCCATGGAGAGGTCCTTATGGACACTCATGAATTTGGGTGGGTGACAGTTCAGGTCACACATACCCTTTTGGATGTCTGCAGAGAATCAGAAAGCATGAACTTGTCTTTAACATTTATTTACTGCTAGCCTCCCTAGTCAGCACCAGAAATACTATCTGGTTAAATTAATTTTAATATTTTATTAGCGGTTGCACCGTGGTTCGTGGGTTAGCACCATCGCCTCACAGCTCGAAGATCTCTGGTTCACATCTCGGACTGGGCCTGGGATATTTCTGCATGGAATTTGCATGTTCTCCCCATGCAGAGTGGGTTCTATTCAGGTTCTCTGGCTTCTTCCATAGTTCAAAAACATGCTGAGGTTAATTGGTGATTCTAAATTGTCCGTAAGTGTGCATGTGAGTGTGCTTAGTTGTCTGTCTCTAAGTGTAGCCCCGCAATAGACTGTTGACCTGTCCAGGGTGTCCCCTGCCTTCGTCCTGAGTCAGCTGGGATAGGCTCCAGCCCTCCCATGACCCAAGGGAGGATTAAGCAGTGTAGGGATAATGGATGGATACAGCTATCCAACACTAGTTGGAGGTGAAGCCCGGGCAGTCCCCTGCTCCCTGAGGATGTTGCACATCATTGGAAGGGAAAGTGTGAGAGATGACAGGAAAATGCATACATTTATGTCAAACAAGGTTGCAAAGCAACACACTGTTTACTGCCATGAGTATTCACCTCCTAAAGGCCCATTCTGAGGCAGCAAACCCCTGCTTTGATTTCAGAAATGAAGATATGTAGACTGTCAAAATAAACTGCCATTTAACTAGTCAACTGGAAAACCACATTCAGGATCCCTGACGGGAGCACTACTAACCAGATTCAATTCATATTCACCAATATGAAGTTGCTGAACTGATGATGCTATGATCTGATTTGGCCTGAAAAAAACATGCTGCAGCTGTTATGGCTGCACCAGACATGCTTCCACTCAACTTTGTAGAAGGTAAAGAATTCTGAAAATGAATTCAATATATTGAGCCCAAAGGCAGAGTGCCAAAGTACAAAATGATCACAATTAGACTGGAGCACAACCAGTGTTTCCTTACACTTAGAGTAGTTGACTAGCCGAAATTAAAACTATTGTTAAATCAACAGAGAAATTAGATGCTCAGAACATACCCATTAAGCACAAACTTTAGCTCAAATTGTCCCTCTTCTTGTGTACTGTAAAGGTACTCGCATAAGGTTATTAAAAAGTGTGAGTTTCATATTTCTATCCATCCCACTTCTTTTCCTCACAGATGATTAAATGCATACAGTACTGCCAAAAGCAAAAAGATAAAACAAGAAGTTAATTTCTTACTGCAGACAAGGACAGGATGAAGGAAATTTGTATCCCTCTGGACACCGTGTCCTGGACACGGAGTTCATTTCTATTGTCGGATCTTTGGATTGTAGAGTTAGATATGTAAATTAACAGAACAAGAAGCCAGCAGGATAACTATCAAAAAAGCAGTTAGCAGTTGAGGGCAAAAATCACACAAACGCTAGCATGGACAATGTCATTATATTAGAATTTCAGAGCTTTTTATCTGGGCCTTTCAGATCTTATGCCCTTAAATAAAATCACTCAACATCGGGGTGATGGAACAAAGTGAATTCAACTATCTGCACAATTACAAGGCCACTACAGTGATTATTGCTCAGTTCTGATACTTATGAAGAATAAAATGATTTAAATAATGTTTTATCCACTGACATGGGTATTCAGTCATATTTTATATCTATTTTGTTATTCTAAATTCTTATTCTACCTCCCTCTACAGTTTCAAAAGCCACAGGAGCAGTACCCTCCGTTCCGCTTCGGTACAGTCCCAAATGGCAGCACAGAGCGCAACATAAGGAGTAACTACCCCGAGATGCACTCCCACATGGTCAAATACAACCAGAAAGGAGTAGAGGATGCCCTTAACAGCCTCAAAACAGGGTAGGTGTCTGCCAAGAATCATAATACAATATATACAATAGAATGGAGAGCCAAAGCAGAGCCAAACAGCTACATCAGGGCCATTTAAGCAAAGATTCTTTTCTTCACTCTTCTAGGAAACTGGATGCTTTTATCTATGATGCTGCTGTGCTGAATTACATGGCTGGCAAAGATGAAGGCTGCAAGCTGGTGACCATTGGCAGTGGGAAAGTGTTTGCTACCACTGGTTATGGCATCGCCCTGCAGAAGGATTCACGCTGGAAACGACCCATCGACCTGGCCCTGCTCCAATTCCTGGCTGATGGTAAATTCTTCATCTATATACAACAGACGCTGAATTTCATAAAACTTGACCATATAATAAAAGGTATTTGTTCCCGTAAACCTGAATGGGAACAACAACATTGTGAGAGAAAAACATCCATAATTTACTGTCATAATACAACAAAAGCTACCATCCTGATAACAACAAGACAGTAAGTTTAAATCAGTGGCGTGCGGTGCGGTTCATGGCTGGTGAGGCACTGACTTCATCAGAATCAGATTTACAAATATATGCACTCTACAGAGTAGCTTATTTGCCATTTGATGTTTCATGTTTGCATTCTTTACACACACAAACTGTAGCCAACAAAACACATGTTTTATTTTTTAAACAAAAAAAAGGTATTGCTGTCTTACCTTTACCTTTAAATTAAGTCCATGCTCCGCTCCTTCTGGACAAAATATTTGTTACTTTTTTGTAAAAGTCTCCTTATCTTCCCAAGTCAAGTGCAGTCACTGCTTTATGATCGCTCAGCACACGAAACACGTTACACACATACAGTTGGTAACAAAAAATATATACATCAGCTAAATTATGGAAAATCAGTTCATATATTAAATGTGTTTGAACCATTTTAATAGCGACATACAGACAGCAGTACACTGTCACTGCATGGCAGCCAGCGCAGTTAGCAAGGGATTGCACAACCCAAGGTGAGGCTCAGCTCACTGCTGCCTCACCAGCTTCTCTTCCAAACATTTGAATGGGAAATTGCGAAAACTCAGCGATTCTGAAAAAAAAAAAATCAGCAAAATTGGTGAGACTTATTTAAACCACCGCACGCACTGGTTTAAATATATTATAATAAAATGCACAGATTCAAAGACAGGTCATAAATGTATTTCACTAAAGCCAAGTTTCAAGATGTGATTCACATAAAAAAAATATATTCTTCTACCCTTAGCTGACTAGGCAAGTCATTTTAAAGCCTCAGCAAAGGTCTGGTCACCTTTGACAGAATATGCAATGAGCAGGAAGATGGTAATAATGTACATTGCATAATGTTTGACAGAGGCCATAGACAGGGCTATGATATTATTATTTCTCACATCCACAGCAAAATCATGCCATTTAGACAGAAATTTGTTTTGTTTTTGGTGACAAACAGTACGTCAACAGCTGGAACACAAACAAAGAAATAAAAATTGGGAAAGTAGTTCTTTGAGGCCACTATTAGATGGGATATGCAATGATTTAATAACTTAGCAAAACTGTGCAAAATAGTTTTTTATTGTCAAATAAATAATGATCTAACATGTTTTTATGAAAGAGGTTCTCCAGTAACAATATGAGGGGTTTAAACTGCAACAGGGTATTGCAACAGATATCTGTGGCATCAGAGAAAATGAATGGGGTGAGAACGCTGGCTCATAATGCTTGCTTTTTTACTTCAGATGTATCTGATAATTCCTCCACTTCAGAAGAAATAAAATCTGTATTTAAAATGGTCACAACCAGCGCAACATACCGTAGCTTTATTTTATGGGGTCACAAGTTAAAATGCTCCAGACCTTTACCTGATACTAGTTTTAAATTTGCTGCAGCCATTATTTGCTTTTCTTCTTTTGTAAGACCAACTGCTGTGTAATCTGGATTTTCAATTTGCTCGGCCTCAAAGAGAAGAACCAGCGTTATTCAGTTGTATCTGGGGTGCTGGTTATTTGAGAGAATTTCATTATCCCATGCAAATGCATTTCATAGGAGATTGGAGGATGTTCCATTACTCACTCAAACCCAAATAATACTAGTGTTATGCAAATAGAGCTTAATCCTGCATTCTGTGCTCTTCCCTCACAGGTGACACACAAAAGCTGCAGACCGTCTGGCTCACAGGTATTTGCCGTAATGAAAAGAAGGAGGTCATGAGCAGTAAGCTGGACATTGACAACATGGCAGGGGTCTTCTATATGCTGCTTGTAGCCATGGGCCTGAGCCTGCTGGTTTTTGCTTGGGAACATCTGCTCTACTGGAAACTACGACATTCAGTGCGCAAATCAGAGCGATTGGACTTCCTCCTCGCCATCAGTCGAGTAAGTAATACTCACATATGAAATGCAATGCAGGATGTAGTTCCTTATGTTCATATGATATTTAAATAATTGGTCTTTTTAAAGTAACAGCAGCAACTTAAGCAGTTGCAAAGCCTGCTGTTTTTTTTTCTACAGTATCCTTCAATACACAGCTTTACAAATATTGTAAATCCAAAAAGTCAAATCAGTACAAAAGCACAACAGTTCAAGGCCAGCAACAATAAAAAAAAAAAAAAAAGACAGTAAAATAAAATGAGCTTAAGGCAATAAAAGGAGTTCATGGATACTTGCTGAAATAAAGCGATGGTCATGATGCCTGAGCAACAGAATTTAAATTGCCCCATTAAAAAAACCTTCATCTGTGTGTCGAAAGCAGTCAAAGGTGAGATTATGTATTCCAAACTGATACTTAATTTGAAAGTAAAATAAAGCTGGTGGGATAAAAATGGAGAAACTAATATGGCAAGTGCATGATCAGCAACTTACTCGTTTATATTCCTGAGCCGTTTTTAAGATCAAGCTGTGTGCAAACAACATTTCAATCACAGCAAAACGGACATATAACAACCAGAAACAACAATTAGTCTCTTTCTGCAAAGTCACCAAGATGAGATCAGTAACTGCACAGGACTGAAAGCCTTTGGGAGTTCAGTAGATTGTTGGCACATTCTGGTATCTGATGAAGCTTAAAGATTGTAATTTTACCCTTCTGTCTCTCTGCAGGGCATCTACAGCTGCTTCAATGGAGTAGAGCAAACTGACCGCAATGGGAGCATGCCGAGTCCAGATGTCACTACCAACTATACACAAGCAAACATGCTAAAGATGCTGAAGACAGCCAAGGACATGGTGTCCTCTGCCAGAGTGGAGAACTCTCTAGACAATGCCACCAAAACAATAGAGAACTGGAGCAGGCGGGGAGGTGACAATGTGCGGGTAGGCCTGCCACCCAGAATTACAACCACAGACATGACCCATGGCCGCCTGCCCTACATCTCAAGCATCACGGACAACCACTCCCCATACCCTCAGAGGGCCATTACACCCACGTTCCCAATTCATTATGGGGATACTTCCACCCAACCCCTCCTGGATAAGCCCCGAGTGGTAACCAGGCCCACCCCACTCCGCTACACGCTGCCTTCCCGAAGCAGTCAACATGTCTTAGAGAGGACTCTACCTATCTCCAGCCTCAGCAGCCCTCACATCGCCATGAGGGATCCTGCTCCTCCTGGAACTCCCAACCCCCACCACGGCAGCAGGCTGTATGTGGAGAACCAGGCCCGGATGCCCACATCCCCTTTTGTCCCGTACAGGGAGTTCCAGGTGCCCGATATTTATGTGGAACACAAAGCACCTCTGAGGAGGAAGTTCAGCTATCCCCCTGACTGTGTGAGCCGGAGAAGGAGGTCCCATAGCTATGTGTTTGATGCTGCAGACCCCAGAGTGAGAGGGGATTATGATGAACCTCGATCCTGCCTTGCTGAGTTGAGGGCCAATCACCTCCTTAACAACCACGCCCCTGATGCAGCAGCCATGGCCTGCACTCCAGGACACTACCCAGGCGGCAGCACCAGCTGCAACTCCTGTATGAAGTCCTACCTGGAGCCTGAAATGGATGACATACCACTCCTGGGGAAGGACAAACTAAACCGCCGCGCCTCATTCCTCAAAGCCACATGGGGCAACGATAGGATCCGTCAGGTAGATGAAACAAAGCCCTCCACGTCCACATCTCCCTCCACCAGAGTAGACATGCCTGACCTGTTTCCACGGGTTGTAGTGGCTAACCCAAAGCCCCACAAATTATATGGCAGTCTGGGGCACAACCTCTCCTGCTACCCCTTGGCTGCTGAGCCAGCCTATCTGGACCCAGCCCACATGGGTTCCTACCCCTACAAGCAAAAGCTTAAGTACTCTGAGTCCACCCGGCTGCCCTCTTACAGGGAAGCCATCTTGCAGAATGCCGCTGCCCTGCGCCGCTCCTCCTCCACAGTGGTGCATAGACACTACTCCACCTACCTGAACTCATACACAGACTTACCAGTGTATGTGGGGCCACTGGCCCAGGGACCGTCCCAGTTCTACAACGGTTCCAAGGACATGTGCCACTTGTTTCCCTGTACAAGCCACTGCCCAGATAATGCAGCAATGCTGCCTCGAATGAGTGACAGGCAGGTTGTTTACCACAACAATATGTTTGGGGCCTATGATGGCTCAGGAAAGAGGGAAGACCCAGGTTCTGGGAGCAGAGAGCGAAGGCAGGTGTTGGTGGCGCGCAGAGTCAACAGTCCCTATGTGCCAAAGCCCTGGGGCAGGGTATCCAGTCTGGAGTCTGAGGTCTGAACCACCATCCTTACTGGTCCTCCATCAGGCTCTCTGACTGAGCCCCTCTGAGGAGGGGAATGCCTGGAGGTTCTCCTCTCAGCCTCTGGTTAAAGCAAAAAGTAACCTTTACACCAATAGTGTATTTGAGAGTGTTGACTCTCAATTATCAGTGCAATAATATCTCGGGCGGCAAAATGTGAAGGAGAAGACACTCAAAAGCAAATTACTGCTGGGACTTTGTAAGCCAAACTTAAAACACTAATAAAAGAAAAGGCAATGTTGAAAAGTATTTATTACATAAGAATTTAACCTGTTGATTGTTATTTAAAGGATTTTTAAATGCTGTGTTGCTATGTGAAAGAATTCTGGGAGACAATATACTGTAGCCTCTCAATCTGATTACAAGTTGAGACATTTCTTTCTCTCATTTTTTTTCAAAATCATTTCAGTACCCTCCATTTCAACCGAGTGATAAATTATTCAGATAATTTTCAGATCAAACCACTGATATGTCTTCCGTAAATTTTCTAAGTCCACGACCTTGGGTGCACCGTTGTTCTTCTGAGACTTTCTGCTCCACTGGTCATTAATGTAATTTGACTGGGATTTTAAAAGGGAAAAGCATATAAAGTATCATGTGTATTTCCAATGTTACACTACCCTTTAATAAAGAACAAGGCCATCTCAAGGGCCTTTTGGAAATGTCCTCTGTCCTCTCAATGTGTATGCTCTCATATACAATGATACAGTGATTGACATTCTACTTTCAATTGTGTTCTATTACACCCACAGTCTACTATTTCAGTCTGTCAACCATCACAACATAGATGATCATCCAGTATGTATACAATTCCATGTACATTTTCTGATAATCTGCAGCATTATGTGTTTCAACAGTGTACCTCCAATTACTTTCAGGAACAGTCTATATTGAAGTTAAACAGACAAACCTTAATGAATCGGTCCACCTGACTGCAGCTGTATTTGTCCACTGTGCCATAAGTCATTTATAGTCAACAGATTAGGATTATTGTGCACGTAAGCAAATGATAATCAGGATGACAGTTTTTGATTTCAACAGTGAAATGAATATCACCAAATTGCAATACTGATGTTTAAAAGGCTGCTCCACTCACTGAAAACTCAGCACATAAAAAATTTTGCTCATGGAAAACAGCCTCAGTATATAAATCACTTAGTCCCAGCTTGGGTAAAAACATTAGAGTGCCTTTATTCACTCTTTTCAGAGTAATTATTGGTCACACACCTGTCTTAGTTGCTGCACTGCACTGAGTAGACACTAGAGGCTTTTCTGTGAGGTATGTGAGGCACTATGAAACATCAGTAAATTGTAGAGTCTATCGACAAGCAGATGTTCAGCAAACAAGCTGTTTTGGGTACAATTTCATTTACATGTTGCCTCTAGGAGACACACTGAATTCAGGTGAAGAAGAACCTTATTTTCAGCCCGATTCAGATTTTTACATTAGCAGGGTTATAGCACAAGATAGGTGTGACAGCAGGTTTCTATTTATTTAAATGTGAAAGGGCAATGAAATAGTGTGTCTTCAAATTAGTAAACAGTCATAATAAATCTCAATATTGATCAAAATAATAGTGCAGTCCTATCATACATGTTTCTAACACAAAACACCACAGTTTGAATCAAACAGGCAGAACGAATGCTGTAAAAAGCATGATGAAATAAAAAGGATTCAGTAGTTGGTTCGCTCATTCACGAACCATTAACATCTGTGTGGCATTTACATAAAATGCAGCACTTTTTAGTTTACTTTTTAAAGCTTACTGTGCGATCATGTAAAACTTGTACTTTCCAAAGAAACCTACTCACGATGTCAAAACTAAAACAAAACCATGCCAGCCCATAACAACTCTAATAAACAACAAATACCAGCGTTCACTTTCCATCACTATATAAATCACCAAAGCACAACAGTGCATGAGCCAAGCAACAAGCAAATGAAGATTAGTAAAGCTCAGCCACGACAAGAAAATTCACTGCAATTTAAAACCAAATATCGCAAATTACACACATAGCAGAATAAACGCTCAAGTTGGCAGCCAACAGATCCCAAATAATCAACCACGAGCAGATCTGCAGAGAGCAACAAAATCTGTCAGCAAAATTGGCTCTCTGCAAGACAGTGCTGATGTTTACATCCCTCGAGCCAAAATACAGTATTACCCTTTGCCTCAAAGCTGGTTACAAAACTACAACAACAACAAACTGGAGAGAAACATAATGCAAAGCCAATCCCGCTCATAACAACACACACAACTCAGATGGCCTTAATTGTAACTGATCATGGCGAAAGTCAGCAGCATGAAAGCATGGTAGTAAATGTGTCAATCCACAGCCACAAGTAAATGTGCTTACTCATAGGAAGTTAATTCATAATTGATAACATTGCAACTCTGCACATACAAAACAGCAGAGCGATAACAGAAAACAGCAGACACAAAAAACATCAGCAGCATCAAGCACAGAAACATTTAATAGAGCCAAGATGTGTCCCAACTCTATACTACAAATTAGCTAAAGACTATAAACACTATTTTTCATAGTATAGTGCTTTTGAAGTTGGTATACAAGATATATGTTTTTTTGTTTGTTTGTTTGTTTGTTTTTAAGCTGTGAACAGCATGTCAATTTCTTCAGTGCATGGCATTATGGGACATCAGATTCCATCAACCCAAAAATCATGTGTCTTTAGTGTCTTTTGAACATGCTTTGTCACATTTTCAGTTTAAACAAATTATTCAGTGTGGCGCATGGAGTTCAGATATAGCTGTAAAATCACAATACACAAGTCAGCAGGAGCAGCAGACGCTTACCTTTGCTGAAGTGATCATCAGGGTATCAGCTGACAGTCAACTTGAAAAGAACAGCCATGGTTCCAAGCTGCACAGACAAGAAATATATGCACAGTTAATAGTAACCTAGTATTACAGTACTACACTTGGCTTTGGAGCTACAGTGAGCTAAGAGGAACTAAAACTAATCAAATCAAATCAAATTAAATCAAGTTTATTGTCATTTTGCTGTACATACACAGTAGTACAGGCAAGATGAAAGAGTGTTTCTTCAGGATCATTAATTAGTAAGTTTTGCGGAATAAACATCTGGGATAGACAAGACATTGAACGTTCACTCTCACTGTCTCCTGAAGGGGCCACTGTGTCCATCCACACAGCCATCACGTTGAACATGGCGAACCTCTTCAGGTCCTGGTAGGTCTTCAGGTACACAAAGACACACACAATGGTGTGACGATGGTGAAGCCGCAGATGCTGCACAGAGCTAGCTGTCTGTCTGTCCGCCCGGAATAATGTCGTCCCCTCCAGCTGTATGTGCATCTGGGATGTTGTCATGGAGCCATGTTTCTGTTAAAGCAAACACATAGCAGTCTTTCCACTCTCCACAGGCTTCTCCCAGCAAACGTAGCTCGTCCAGTTTGTTGTTGAGGGAGCAGACATTGGAGAGTAGGAGGGACAGTATTGCTGGTCTAGAGGGGTTAGCCTATTTCCTAGCATGGATCTCTGCTCTCTTCCGCCTCTTTTGTTTACATTCGCACCGTTTGCGCTTCCTTCTCTCTCGGGTAACTGCCGGTGTAGTCTCTCAACCGATCGCCGCAATTCCAGCGCCTTTCACTGTCCTGACGTCCAGCAAAGTCTCTCGGCCGCAAGATTTGCAGAATAAACATCTGGGATAGACAAGACACTCAAAAGGTTCACTTTCGTTGTCTCCTGAAGGGGCTACTCCGTCTATTCGCGCCGCCATCACCATGGCAACATGGAAACTACAAAACTACCTTAAATAAAGTAGCATGCAAAACCATCAGACCCGTAACACTTTATAGACAAGCATCAGAAAATACTTTTCACAACTGCAAAAATTCTCAGCAGCAAGCAAAATGTATGTGCAGAAACTGTTTGCCCAAGGCTGAAGGACGTACATACACCTGACATTCTCTCTGCTTTCAGAGCATCCTGCTGCTGCCCATCCAATGCACTGTTGCATACTGTATGCACAGAACTAGGACACACTTCTTCATCACGACATTGGGCCTTGAACTTTGATCCAATTACTCCAATGTCCAGGTTACACTTGAATTAGATTAAATAGATTTACTATACCTTATATCTTCTCTGTGCAGCAATCATAAAACAATAGAAGAAGAGTTCGCAGTTAATAACAGACAAGAACGCGGCATCATCCATCAATGCGACTTTTGTCCTCCTTCAAATCAACTGTCATCTATTTTCTTGGTGGCTCAAGCTAGTTCATATTCAGACGAGACATCAAGACATATACGATACATGTTCAACTGCGCAGAGGATTGCTGGTCAAAATGGACAGAAAGGCAGCCGGATGTAGTTAGAGATGCTGGTATTTTAGGGTTTGTGTATATAGCTCAGAATGGGACTTTGGTGGGTGACTATGCAACAATAAGCATGACCAGTCTGCATATAATAAATGCAATGAGCTTGTGTTACCTTATGTTCTATTTGACAGAAATCTATACCTTTTGCTGTTATTTCTAACCATTACACAGACAAAAATTACTAAAATGTTTGAGAACATGAAAATCCAATTATAAAACTGGTTTAAAAACACATATATATAGTTGCTATCTATTTATGTCTTTGGACAAAGAACCCCTGGTATGCTATATATGGAACATACTAAATCTTTTTCTGGCATATTAAAAGAGTTAGGTAGTATGGGATATATGTGGTATATGCTCTTCAGGAAGTTTAGCCCATGCATCCACAGACATCAACCAAATATAGTTTAACATGCCAGGTGCATGGTGTCACTAAAACAAAAGAATTATTTTACAATATATAATTAACTTGTGTTTATCGTAGCACCCTGTATTAACCAGCTGTCCATGAGTTTAATAATGCACTAGGTCCCTCACTTTATGACAGACTGCCTACTGGGAATGAAGGTTACCGTCTCTGATTAATAGAAACTCATTTAAAATCACCTTTATTTTCAGTTTAATTCAGAATACAGGGAGACACGACAGAATACTAGGATAACATAGCTAATTTAATTCATAGCT